GGAGACTCAGCTAGCGCGGGGGCCTTTCCGTCCAGTGGGCTGCCCAGCCTCTCCCTGCGGCCCAGCCGGAAGCTCCTCCGCAGTCCAGCTGTGGGGAGGGGCAGAGGGATGCCACGCCCTTTGGCTCAGGATCTCCGTGAAAGACTGTCTACCTGGCCAGACCTGGCAGGTGAGACCAAGTACCACCGGTCTCCTCTAACCATGTCCCACGTCAGGGCAGAAAGCACGAAGAAAGGGTGACCATCAGCAGCCCCCCCAAACTGGAGTCCAAGGCCACTATTTACTTGGCCTGTGACTAGCCTGGAGCAAGTCTCACCGCTCTGCGCCTTTGTGCGAGGGGGTCACACAACCACAAATGCAGTGTGTGGCCCCCAGACTGGATCCTGCATTGATGAAACAGTTACAAAGGACGTGGCTGGGAGAATGATGAAAATGTTCGTGTGAACCCATACCTCCCTGCCACCGAGTTTATTGGGCTGCTAACCACAAGGTCAGCAGTTTGAAACCACCAGCCACTCCATAGGAGTAAGATAAGGCTTGCTGCTACCACAGAGATTTACGGTCTTGGAAGCCCACAGGGCCACTCTATTCTATCCTGCAGGGTGGCCAGGTAGCATGAACAGTAGTCTAGATAATAACATTGTGGTGTTTTATTCCCAGAAGTAGCTTCTGGCCCTGAGGCAGGCTCACACTGCCGACTTTTCACTCTGCAGCCCAGTGCTTAACCATCAACGGGTCTGGGAGTTTGTCATGGAATTCTTACGACTTTTCAGTAAATCTGAAACCGCTTCCAAATCTCCCTGCCGTCGCCTATGGGACGTGGGAGAACTGCCTCTGTGGCCTTCCAAAAGGGCAGTGACTCTTCCTGGGGCACTTCAAAAGCTCCCTGCTCTGTCTCGGGAGCCTTTGCAAAGAGGGGCCCAAAGGACAGCAGTGAAGGCCCCTGGGAGACCGGGGAGAGGCTCCATCACTGTGCGGTGCTGGTGCCAGTGCTGAAGAAACTATGATTAAGACGATGATGCTCACAACACAAGTGCCTTTCACTGAGCAGGCCCTTCCTGCCAGGATCCCCTCCCTCTACTTCCAGGGGTCCAGCGAAAGCTGGGGTGAGGGCCCCAAGGCCCAGGAGAGAGAGGGATGCCACAGGCTTCGCTGCTCTTAAAGACCTCCTGGGCTCACTCGGCCCCATCTCCCCCCGACCCAGGAGCTTCAGGTGGAGCTGCCCCCGGGTGAGGGGTACAAGGCGAGAGCCCCCGTACTCACCCACGTAGTGGCCCCGGGGGCTTCCTTCACACTCACAGGTCTCTGGAAGCACACAGAGAGGGAGGCCCGTCAGGTGAGCTGGACACTCCAGCGAGAGAGGCCGTGGCAGGGATGCCCAGCACGTGGCCCCTTGGCGAGGTGTCTCGGTGGGGGCTCAGGAGGAGCCCTGTGTCCTGGCTGCCCTCAGCGGAGCAAGGTCTTTGTGCTGTTCCCCAAATTGCCCTTCCAGGCCGTCGGGGGTTCCAAGCCTGATCAGGGGTTCGGAGCCAGCCATCCCTTTGAGTTGGGATCCCCATGAATAAGGATGGGCTTGTCACTCCTCCCCA